CCTTTCCTCTAAAACGTGAGTTCTGTGCTCGTCCGGCCTCGAGCAGCTCCGTCCAGCGCTCGGTGGCCGGGGTTTGCAGACGGGGGGAGGGAGGGAGGAAGATCCCATCTGCAGCACAGGGAGCGGGAGGCATGTTGAGAGCCGGAAGAAAAGGAGATGTAGCATCTCTAAATATACCTCCAGAGAATCAAGAGAGACAGTGAAAGATGGGATAGTAAAAGCCACTTGGAAAGAGGGGAGAGGGGGGAAAAAATGGCTAGAGGAGGGCATAAAGGCTGCTGATGGGAATTGGGAGCGGGCATTACCGAGAAGACTTCCTTCTAATTCATCTTCCAAGCTCTGTGCCAAAACAGCATTTGGCATGGTTCACAGGGAGCAATTGTGTGATAATGAACCCTAAGGTGTCCCTTAATTGAAGACTGAGTATTACAGATTGTGCCAATGGTCGTAAATGGCGCAGGATTGTGGGAGGATGCATTTTCTTAAATGTATCTGTAAGTACAGATTAGTGAGCCTCCCCAGTGAAATGCCCATACTATAAATTATGGAAATATCTCTTTCTGATGCAACCTTTTATGGAGGGGGTGGGGCAGCATAAGAAATAGTTTGCAAGCCTTTGAAATTTGGCCTGTCATTAAGATGGTGCCTGCAAAGCTGGGTTTTCATCAGCAGTCTGGTGTCCTGTAAGGCTGAAGTGCTGGAATCGTTCCCAAGTTCAGCAATTTGTTCTCCATTATTGCTGCCTGCTCGGGGCGGAGGAGCCGCAGCAATTCAACTTGGTTCTGTTGGGAGTCCGCGATGGGCTGGAGAGGGACAGGGGCAGGAGGCGAAGAGACGCCCTGGCACCCCACGAGGGGCTGGGACCTCGCGGTGCCTCCAAACCCCGCTCCAGCCCTGCTGCTGTCCGGCTCTCTGGGGGCCCTGGGCCTCGCCACCGTGGGCGGTTTTTTTTTGGGGCCCCCCCCCTTCCACTCTGGGGTCTGGCGGCAGTTCCCTGTGTCTCCTGGCTCCAGCAACGTTGTGCAGCCCAGAAGCTGCTGTGGTGCCTTCAAGGCAGGTCTGTGGCCTCCGAGAACGGAACCGAGGCTCCTGCTCAGCTCTGGGCAAGTTTAACCCCAAATAAAGTGGGTAAAGCGCTGACCACGTTCATTTTCATGGCAGGGAGGGTTCGTCCACCCCTTGGGCAGAAACTGGAGGCTACAAGGAGCAGGGCAGGTCCCCAAGGCACCACAGAGGAGCCAGCACATGGGCTGCGTTTGGGGCATTGGGGGGGCCGGGAGCGGCGGGGGGGGG